AATGCCCAATATGTCAATAACACAAAGGGAAATGAAGCATCTTACATAAAATACTTTTTTTTTTTTTCCAGATGTTTGATCTTAGCATAGAAGTACGTATTTGTTCCTGAACTTACTTTTCCTGTGATCTACTTCTTAAATTAAGCTAATTTGTTCAGGATATTCTTCATTCATCCTCAACTGAATTTTGCTAATTTCTTCTATATCTATTTTAGAGGTACGGAAGTTTTATAGCTACATCTCCAAAGAAAGCTCAATATGAAATTCTCTATCTCTTCAAACCCTAATCCTCAGCTTCAAAATGGAAAAGCTTATAGGGTATTTTAATTGCCAGCACCATGATTATTTTGGATTAGATGATCGCCATAGATCCCTTCCAACTAAAATAGCCCATCCTACTCTGTTGTAATGGATTAAGAAGAGTCTGTCCTTTTTAATAGGTTAGATTTCTTGTTAAGTGCTTCCCATACCTAACTTGCTAGACTACATGGGAATTTTCTTAACCAAGCACAGACTTTGCATAATTCTGGCAATATTTCTGAGAAAGCTATCAGGAATTTATTTTTCTCTAACTTCCACTTTATGCCTTCAGGACATCTCTTCTAGTTCTCCTATTATGCTACTGGCTTCTTCAGGGACAAAACTGATGTTTCATACTATAGAGATACCATGCTGGTGGGCTGTAACATATCTCTCACAAACACACTGACTTGGAAGAAAAAAGCCTGCAACAAAATCAAATAGAATCATCTCACCAACAAAATACCTGGCCTTACAAAAACATTAGTAGCGATATTGAAAGGTTACAGACAACCTATGTTGTCCAGACTAGGCCTAAAGCTAAGCTGTAAACACTTTGATTGCAGCTGGTCTACTGAAGAGGAAACTGACCCTAATGCAGCAAGAACTGGTTTATTCACTTGGCTTCAGGGTTGCTCGACATCTTTTATTTAAGAGTATGAGATTAATCATGAAGAATGTCTGCTGAGTCCCCCTGCCTTTGTACATAGCAAAGTAGTCTTCCAGCTAGGTAATAACCTAACCATGCCTCCTGAGGAAATTTCAACCTGCTTCTTTATCTGGTGGTATTTCTGCTTCCAGGTTAGTCTCAGTGCCAAGCATGTATGACCATCATCTGGCAGGGAGGGATTTATAGAAGTGAAAGAATGTTTTTTTTCTGCTTTAATTAAGTAGCTTTGTGTCACAAGGCCTTCTTATGAGGGAGGCAGCCAGTGAAGCTGGCTGCAGGGTTTGAAATAAATAGTGAGAAATGGAATTTGGCAAAAATATGACCAGAAACCACTTTTCATTTCCTATGAATCTCAGTACTGAAATAAGACAACTTTTTTGGTTCTGTGGTTGCGTATACAAAAACATTCACAGTGCTAATGCATACACAGGCGTGACAGATATTTTTTTTCTAAGATACTCTCATGTGAAAAATCATTTAAACTGAAATGGTTAACATTTCTACAATAACTACTCTTCACTAAGTTAAGAAACTTATACAGAGTGTAAAACCTGACAGTAAGCATTTTTCTACTCATTCTGTTCACTGCAAATGAATCCCTTAATCGGACAGTTCATGTTATTTGGTTTTTGAGAGGGGAAAAAGAAAGCTGCATTTTTCAAAAATAAATGCTAAAGACTAGACAGAATTTATGCAAAGTTTAAAGTTTAAGGTAGTGCAGTTAAATTACTTCTGTGATTTGGTTTTGTTTGTTTAAAGAATACTCTAAAGGATATTGACATTTTTGCTACAAATTTATCGAGCTTATCTTCAGGAACTGGAAAAGTCTGCAAATCCTTCTCAAGCTGTTGGAGTTGCCTCTCCATATGCTTCAGGCTCTTTTCCAGGTTTTCCGCTGAGACTAAAATACAGAACATTCATTCTGTTAACACCTTAAACAAGAAACATTGTTTGTAAAACACTTGAGTTAAAACCTTACTAAATCAGCAGACCATGTTTTTAATTCTAAAATAAAAGCACACTGCACAAATTATGATACCAGATGAGGGGTTTGCTCTAAAGTGTTCAGTTTCCTTCTCATACATGTTTGCCTTATTCTCATCAGATGTGTGCTGTTTGAACACTGCATTTTGTTTTATTTTTATGCCTAAGGTTTTGCACTGCAATTAGCAGTCTTTTCAACATAACTGGAGATATACATATGCTAGTCTGTCTCTTCTGATTAACCAAAGGACAAGTTTTTGAAGCCATTCCAAGAACCACAAAGCTTTCTTCAATCTCATTCTGTTAGAAAATATGAACATTTGTATGGAAGATCATGAGGAAAATTAGATCCTCAAAACATACAGAAAATGGCGCTATTTAACAGCTATGTATGACACCTAAGACTAAATTCCCCAGTTTGAAAGCATGGTGCCTGGTAAAAAATCACAGCTGAATTTGTTGTGCAAAAGTGCTTGCCAAGCTGGAAGAACGTGCAAGCACTTGAGAGTGTGTGGCACAGAAAAACAGGGACTTAAGAAAAATAATGGAGTAGACAGAAAACATCAGGGATTTATAGAAGGATGAAGAAAACCTGCAAATTATCTTTATCAGAAAAAGAGAAATACAACTTCCAACCATTCACAGCAATGCATGGATGTTGAACAGTTGATCTGCAAATAGTTGATTAAAATATCAAGACCCTAAGAGTAACCTGAGAATAACTCATGCTAGCATATATTCTATATTGGATTGATATTATGGAAATAAGCTTTTTGTTTATGAAGTAAATTTAACATTTAATTAACTTTTTTCAGAATAATAGATATATATGAGAACTCTGAATTTTAGACTAATGACTTGTTATTTTTAATTTTCATCATCTATTTCATTCATAATATACTGTATCAATAAAGATAACACTTCACCTAAAAAAACTTGGCCCTATGATGTTACTAAGATCTGCAGTGGATCCATGAGTAAGAATTATGCAATAGAAAATATAAGATACACACACTGAACACATCTTTCTCTCATAAAAGCCTGACAGAGTCTCTAAACAATATAACTATAATGTTGCATACCAACTACAACCCCATTCTTAGCAGAAAGGTTAACACAACTATAAAATGATCAATGGCAACTTGTTAAAATCCTAATGTAACCTAAAAAAAAGACAAACAACAAACAACAATCCAACAATCCAACTCAAACAACTTGGACAGAATCAAATTTTCCAAAAAGGACTAAGGGAATATAAATATGTTCTTATTATAGATTACAACTCATAAGTTGGTTTATAATCACATTTTTAAATCCTCAGTTTAGTTAAAAACACAGTTATCCAACTATATGTTAGACTTCGCAGATTTTCACCCAGCATTTTGTAAACCCATATGATCACCAGGTAGGTCAGCTGGTTTCAGTAGTTAGGAGACAGCCTTATTTGGGAAGCAGAGCTAAAATTAGAAGCTGACAATGTTGACTGCAAATGTGTTTCAGTCTTCCCAGGTTCCAGAAACAAACCAGATGTTAATGTAAAGTCATACTTCTGCTGTCCTAAGAAGCCTTTAAGGGTAGGCAAACACAATTTTAAGACACTGATATACTTAGAAAGCTGCTAAGAGAAACAAAAATAAACCTTGTGCCTAATCTGTTGACAAGACTCTTCACAGTATAGTTTGTCTTGCATAAAAAGAGTTCACAGCATAAAATTAAAGCAACATACTTAGAAAATGTTAGAATGCTCAGACTCAGCAAGCATATAGGTTTAAAAAAAACACCCAAAAACCAAACAAAAAAACCCAACTCAATAAAAACATCTATACCAATTGCAGATAGCAGCTGGGTAAGAGTTACATTCTTTTACCCAGATAAAAAAAATCAACATCAGTGCCTAAAGCTGATTAACAGGTTGTAGACATACATTTTCAGAACCATGCTTCCAGCAAAGCCAATTTTTTATTTCTATTCCTTCAATGCTTTTGACCCTGAACAGGTGCATATTTGATCAAGAATCTTTACATCTCTCTCTTGCTCTGAAGGTGTGTCTTTCTTCCCACTGTCATGATCTTCAGTTTTTCCTGAATATAAAATTCAGCTTTCCTTTAATTTCAGCGGTGCACAATTATTAGATATGTTTTCCTTCTGTTTTTGGTGACAGCCTCAAGCAGAAACTGTCTCACAATATGCTGGTATTGGTCTGCTACAATTGTCTTCGCAACACCCAGTTTTGCGAAAGTAGATGGAAAATATCAAATCCGTAAATACAAGCATCACCTAAACAAAAAGGTCACATGAAATACCTGAGAACCTTCCCTTGTGCCCCTCTAGAAGACATGGTATAAAATATGAAGGGATACTGAAAAAGGGCAGAAGAGAAAAAAAATATAATCTCTAAATTTGACCCTTTATCCTGGGGGGATTCAGATATAAATGCAAACCAATCTAAAGTAAGCAACTCATAGCACAGATTGGAAACAAAGACTGGACTTTTGAATGCTAGTGAGCTCACAAAACCAAGTTGTTCATTCAATACAATGCATGACTGCCTGAGTGGTCTTCTCTTACACCCACTGAACTCTGCTACTGCTTTTTCAAAAAGGCTCCTGATACTTTTACTGGCAATAATTAGACTTCCTCACCCTCTGCTTTTCAGGGTTAAAATAACTTTGTTCTTAAAGTTTTCTTTCTTAATTCAGGTATTCTAATGTCGTGATTATTCCAGAAGCCTCTTCACCTGCTTCTGTTTTAAAACCTTTCTGCATAGTATTTCAGGTGATGAGTCATAAGCCATTTTAATGTTTACATTAGTATTTCTACAGTTCTACTGGAAATACTTTAGCTGATTATCTTACAGTAAAATATCCTTTTTTCTTGACTAAAACTCTTATTACAGTATTAAAATGCATTAACTTGTACTTTATAGTATTGATTTTCATTTCTGTTACTCAGCTTCCTCAAGATCATTCAGTGACTCAATCTCCCTCTTGGCTGGCAAAGCTGTCTAGCCCATTCTCAGATATGCTCATTGGTTCAATAGAAAAATTTTTCTATTTTGCCATATTCCTTGCAGAGAGAGAGAGTACTTTGTGATTCCTTACTTTCTGTTCTAATGAATATTCTCCAATTTTACATAATATCAAATGCTCTCCTGAAGACAATTTCATGTGTAAAAAAGTCAACAGAAATTAATAGTCAAAACTAGCAGATTACAACCAATAAATTCATTTCCATTTTATGCTACTCTTATTAACCTCCACATGTTTGATGATTCTTTTCCCTAAAAAATTTTGTATCATTAAGGTCAGATAAAGAGATGTGTAAATGCCCAAAACTTTCTTTCCTCTGAAGTTTCATTATTACAGCCAAGGCAAAATCTGGTAAAAAACATTCTTACTACACTTCTAGTTCCATATCTCAGTTATCTCAGAATGCAGAAATGGAAAGTGGTATTTACAATATGAGGATATGGTACTACGATTTTTCCTTACAACAAATTTCTATGGAAACATTTTGGTTCCCTCTCCCCCAGCCCCAGATCATTATTTTTGTTTAAAATTAAAGCAATATTTCATCTAGTTTTCAGACTGTATCTGTTTTATCTTAAATCCTAGAAATAATTCTCCAAAGCAAAGCAATACTACTTGTGTGCTCTCTCATTTCCATTGCTGTCAACCTTCTTGCTTTTTGCAATAGTTATTTCAGATATTTCAGAAATCCTACATGCTGCCCAACCTGTATGACAGTTTTCTTGGATGGCTGCAATCTCCATATCAAAAGAATCTTCCTCTTGCTTACAGATATTTTGCTTCACTTGTGCTATCCTGGCCGACAGGAGAAGCTAATCTCTAGCATGATGCCATATTGTTAAAATAAAAATCTGAAAAGATACTATTGCTTTTGTTATTTAAACTTCATTATGGACTGATGGACAGTTTATTGAATAATTCTCTAAAACTGGCAATGTATTATTGATGTTGCATTTAAAAGTAAAGTTCTGTGGCAAAATATAGCCTAACCTCCCCCCAAAAAATAACAACAAAAACCCCTTTGTATTGTCAGATCCTTTAGAGCACTAACAAAGAAATATTTCAGAGGCAAAATATTAGGAGGTTTCTGTAAACACCAGCAAAGGCCTGAAATATCCATTAACAGTGAAATAAGATCTAGTTGGATATACTCACTCAGTGTCACAGAAGGCTGAAAACACAATATTTATGCTTTATTTCTCCCAAGATTATGTTTTCTCTTGTCTTCAACAGGCAACTTCTGGCTTTCTTGCCCTTTTTTTTTTTTTTTTTTTTTAACTGCATGTGTGCCTATCAGGTTTATACAATACTCTTGTTGAAATCATTTTTTCCCCAAACGTCTGACAATGCCATGGCCTCTTCAGCTCTCAGACATTCCCTTCTGCAGCCAAAGCAAACTCCAGTTGCATAAACAAAAGAAGCAGCTCTCTGAGAAGGATTTCATTGATTTTCTCCTATTTTTAATCCAAATATGAGCACACTAATGTAGTATAATCGATAAACAATACATAAGCATTTTTGTACCCAGCTCCCTAGTAATAATAG